GCTCTTTTCTGAAATAATAAGAAAAAAAAACGTAATCTGTCCCCAGCGGGCCGTACAACTGACCACACAACAGGAACCATTTGATTTAGTAAAACCTCTCTACAAACATCTAAAACTAGCTAACTCTCGAGCATTCAGGTAGCTTCCAATGCTGTAGTGCCACCCGGTCATGTGACCAGAGCGGAAAATCTATAAACGACGACGTCAGTCCAAGATCCTCCACATAGGGTGTTTGGAGAGGGAGGTAAGTCGGTTATTTGGACCAAATTCTATTCTGCAAAGTATGTAATGTTTGTTTATGTAGCGCAAAATTATCTTGTTTTAAAAAGATACAAACATTTCTCCTCGGAATGAGAAAATAAGGCAACAGACTAAACGGTTTTGTCCCATTGGAAAATATTGTTTTAAATGTGCTCCAATTACAGTTTTTTCCTGTTGCTTGAAAACTATAGACATACGCTTAGACCAAAGTTTCAGAACTTGAAGCTTTTGTTCTAAACCTAAAACACAGACTGACCATTCCTTAAACAAAAGTACTGCTTTGCACTCTACTTTCATTTCTACAACACACTTTCTCCTTTTGCAACACACTTTCTCTTTCTGCAACAAACTTTCTCCTGCTCACTACACACTGTGTCATACATAAGACACTTTGTGCATATTGGCAATCCTGTGTTATTGTTGGGAAAACACATCTATTCAAAATACCAAACACATTGTGTGACTAAAAACACTGAGACACACACCAGAAAACACTGAATTACAAAATGCAACACACATCAGACAGACACAAACAGGCTTCAGTTTAGCCATTTTCAGAACTTTGCAAGTTTGAAGGCAGGAAGAGCAAGACAGAGGAAGACAAGGAGTTTAAGAGGATTAAAACAACACAATATTTTGATGACATTAGAGCAACCTTTGTGGATCTTGTGATAAACCACTGCCTCAAACTGAGGGAAGCAGAGAGTCCAGACAAGGTCCTTCAGGACCTACATGTTTCCAACGCTCTACTGCAGACTGTATCTACAGTATTTACAGTACTGTATCACATGTACTGTAAGTCTCTACTGCAGACTGTATCTACAGTATTTACAGTACTGTTCTGTATCACATGTACTGTAACTCTCTACTGCAGACTGTACCTACAGTATTTACAGTACTGTTCTGTATCACATGTACTGTTTTGCAAGTCCTTTTTGAAAAAAATTTAGTTTTATGAAACATACAAGATGGTGAAGTACATAAAACTGAGATATAACAGTACTGTGTACATTTGTACTGTGAAAAAACTAAACCTATAGTAACAATTTGTGGTTTCATATTTATACAAAATGACTAAAAGAACATCCGGAGGTGGTCGGCAACTGTTCACCAACAACATGAACTTGCCTTCGTGGAAATAGTTAGACCATGAACCATGATCCATAATCCACACACGCACAACTGCTTAGTTTTACATTCGAGTTTTTTTGTTTTACTGCATTGACACAAATACAGTATACCGTAGTACTGTGATATACAGTATATTGTAGTACTGTAATGTGATGTACAGTATATTGTAGTGCTGTGATGTACAGCATATACTGTAGTACTGTACTGTAAAGTATGCTGTAGTACTGTACTGTAAAGTATACTGTAGTACTGTACTGTAAAGTATGCTGTAGTACTGTACTGTAAAGTTTGCTGTAGTACTGTACTGTAAAGTATGCTGTAGTACTGTACTGTAAAGTATACTGTAGTACTGCACTATAAAGTATACTGTAGTACTGTACTGTAAAGTATACTGTAGTACTGTACTGTAAAGTATACTGTAGTACTGTACTGTATTGAGTTTATATTATGTGTAACCTTTCAGTGCTACAGAGAACAAAAACAGTTCCATTGAGCTTCACAGAAAACTAACTGATAAACAGAATAAAAACAGTGAAAATGACTGCAGTGTTTTATATAAAGTACTGTAGTCTGTTGCTTTCAATCTGAAAGTGTGTTCACGTGATGCAAGTGTGTGTCATTTTGTCCTCAGAGTTTCATTTTGACGAATGATTGTTTAATTTTGAGAGCAGAGTTTGAGTTTTGAGAGCAGAGTTTGAGTTTTGAGAGCAGAGTTTGAGTTTTGAGAGCAGAGTTTGAGTTTTGAGAGGTAGAGTTTGAGTTTTGATAGAGGAGTTTCATTTTGACACAGATGTGTCTGGTTTATGTCCCAGTGTTGTGTCAGGTTCTCGTGTGTGGAGAGTTTTGGGACTTTGAGCAAAATTTTGCAAACTGTGTTCAAGCAACAGGAAAAAACTGTAAGATAATCAAAAACACTCGATTCAAGCTTTTATTAGCTCATATGCAGTGTAAGAACGGCTTCCTGGTAAAGTTTTTTTTCATGTCTTGACCTGAGTGACATGTGTACCGAGTTTCGTGGCTCTACGACAAACTTGACCTCCGACCCGCTCCCATAGGCGCAATGTAAACTGACTTTTGTAGGGGGCGCTGTTCGGGCATTTTTTTAGTCCAATAAAAATAAACACCAAAAAAAAATATTTTTCGCCGGTTCTGAATTTTGGGCAAAATTTCACAACTTTTCATCAATGTTCAGGGGGTCAAATTAACGTTCAAAGCGTAGAAGAAAAAAGAAAGAAAGAAATAAATAAATAAGGATTTTTTTAAAAAAAATCTTCGAGCAAAAACAATATAGGTTTCCATAGTAACCTATAATACAAATTATACGTCGCTTTAAAGCGAACGACGAGGCGAACGCAACTATTGGGTTCTATTGGGTTCTCGGTGATTGACGAGTCAATCACCTCGCCATCATGAGGTCACCCCCCCCCCCCCCATAGGACCCCATTCATTTCACTGTGTACTACAGCAGGAGCAAAGCCATTCAGTGCCTCCGGCACTGTTTTGTCAGTGTCTGGGTACGCGCCGTCGGGTTTGGGGGACAATTAAGGTTAGCTAAAGATATTAATCCTGGACGGGGTTCAAATGATGGAAAAGTCTATAAACTGTTCTCTGTCAACAAAATATCTGCATGAGAAAGCCAAATCCTGTTAGATATCTGAAGTTAAGCAGGGCAGGACCTGGTTAATACTGTGATGGGAGACCTGTGTGATCAGTGTGGCGACCTCCGGCTGTACAGTGCTAAACTGTTGTGTCCTTAGGCAAGACACTTGAGCCCCTTTAGTGTGTGTGTGAATATAGTGTGGACATTTTGGTTTTATTTTGCTAAATATTTGTTATGTATTTTGAGATTTCCTCCTGCCCCGCCCTAATGTGATTCACCTGTGTGTGTGTCCCTGTGTGTGTGTCTGTCTGTGTGTGTGTCTGTGTGTGTCTGTGTGTGTGTGTGTGTGTGTGTGTTTATACCCTGTGCCTTTCTCACCTGTTGTCCGTCCATTGTCTATACCACGTTTGTCTTCTGGATTTTTGTGCTTTTTGTCACTCTAGATTTTGATTTTATTAAATGACATTTGATTTTCAGTCCTGCCTTTTGGGTTCCCCCTTCATGCATCTCACAACATGACAGATGGTGGTGGTGGGAGGGGCCGATGGTACTTACCGGTTGCCTTGCTTCTGTCAGTGTGCCCCAGGGCAGCTGTGGCTTCTGTAGAAGTTTATCACAGCTGTGTTTGGAGTGAAATAATATTGACATGTGAAGTGTCTTTGAGTGTTAGATTAGAGTTGTTAGTACAATCTACTGTTGGCCAAATGGAAATGGTCTCAGCCAAAAGAGCAGCTCACTCCTAATGGACACGCTTTCAGGAGAACATTAAGCACTGAGAAAATACAGCTATCAAAACAAGAACAGAGAATGTGTAGTGATGATACAAAGCACAAGGGCACATATGTAACCCTGGAAATTCTAAAAGATCCGTCTGCAATTAGTCAACCCATTTATTTACTATAAGACTCTTTATGTCAGGTCCTTGTGCAGGGAACGTTTGAAAAAAAGAAAAAGTGTAAATACTGAATGGTGTGAAAGAGTAAAAAGACAGCTCAGACAAACACTCAAACCTCCTGCTCTTCAAACGAGGTCATGTCAGCAACGAGGCAATCGATTCTTGTTTTATATTTACATCCTGAAGGGCAAAGAATATGGAACGTCTGGTCAGAACAACGCTCAAGTGAAGCCTCAGGAAAACTTGGGGTTGTTTGAAAAAAGACTTGCAGTATAGAATGATCTGCCTTTGGGAAAAAAATAATTTGTTGTGATAAACTTTTGAATATACACGAATTTGACTTTGTTTACTTTTTATAGTTCACTTTTTTTACTTTTGAATGCGCTGGAAAAAGGCTGCAAGTCCGAAGAAGCTCTGAAACAGTTGTTGTTTTGTGCTTTACAGTTTTTATTTTTGTTGCTTTTTTCTGCCTGAGATGTTGCTGCAGTTCAGTGTTGGTTTTACACTGGTCCAGACCAGAGCAGAGAGGATTCATGGTTTTACACTGGTCCAGACCAGAGCAGAGAGGATTCATGGTTTTACACTGGTCCAGACCAGAGCAGAGAGGATTCATGGTTTTACACTGGTCAAGACCAGAGCAGAGAGGATTCATGGTTTTACACTGGTCCAGACCAGAGCAGAGAGGATTCATGGTTTTGCACTGGTCCAGACCAGAGCAGAGAGGATTCATGGTCCGAACCAAATGGATCAGTTGAAAATCCACTGGAGGAATGCTAACTTTTTGAAAAATGCCACTGAAGTATATAGCATTTAACTTTGGACTAGAGCAGAGAAAATGGTCCAAACCAAGCGGCTACTCCACCTCTGTGACCCGTCCTGCTCCACCCAGAGGCTACTCCACCTCTCCTGCTGTGACCTGTCTTAAACTTAATGGTTTTATAGTTGCCATGATGAACATGATCAGTAGAGTCACATGATGCTAACATGGTCAGTGGGGTCACATGATGCTAACATGGTCAGTAGGGTCACAGGATGCTAACAATGTGCAGTCAAATCTGTTTTTAGGGCTTACTTCTCCTTCTGCAGATAATCCACCCCACAGCAGAACTATACATGTGTGCTTCATGTCAATATGAGAAAGTGTCAAAACACCTCTCACGCCGTCCCCATGCCTGCCCCTGGATCCCTACTCCCGGATTCCTACCCCCGGATTCCTACCCCCGGATTCCTACTCCCGGATTCCTACCCCCGGATTCCTACCCCCGGATTCCTACCCCGGATTCCTACCCCCGGATCCCTACTCCCGGATTCCTACCCCCGGATTCCTACCCCCGGATTCCTACCCCGGATTCCTACCCCCGGATTCCTACCCCCGGATTCCTACCCCCGGATTCCTACACCGGATTCCTGCCCCCGGATTCCTACCCCCGGATTCCTACCCCGGATTCCTACCCCCGGATTCCTACCCCCGGATTCCTACCCCCGGATTCCTACACCGGATTCCTGCCCCCGGATTCCTACCCCCGGATTCCTACCCCCGGATTCCTACCCCGGATTCCTACCCCCGGATTCTTACCCCGGATTCCTACCCCGGATTCCTACCCCCGGATTCCTACCCCCGGATTCCTACCCCCGGATTCCTACCCCCGGATTCCTACCCCCGAATTCCTACCCCCGGATTCTTACCCCGGATTCCTACCCCCGGATTCCTACCCCGGATTCCTACCCCCGGATTCCTGCCCCCTAGTTTCCTTCGTGCCCTCATTCCAAAGCTCCAGACACGCTCCACAAACACACGCATTTTCCCGTTAATTTCACCTGCCATTCACTCCGCCGCACGCCGAAAGCACTTTACGCCAGCGCGCCTCCCAAACCGGCACTTACCTCCGCTCGGGCGCTAAATAAAAGCGACAGGCGCCCTTTGTCTCAGCTCAGTATGATAGTGGATAATCATAAGGCGTTTGACGTTTTTAAATGGCGCCTTTTCACTTTTTTTTGTGTCCCGCTCCAAATCAGCGCGGTAATGACAGGGCTGACAGGCGGCGTGCAGATCTCTCTCTGAATGGAGTCGCTCGTCTCTCTCTTAGACCTTTCAAGTCTACTTTTCAGTCGTTGCCGCGCTTATTTTTTACCATTTGATGTGGGCCACTGCATCTACCGGCAAACGGAAATGTGTTCACCGCACATAAGATCATGTGCGCTGAACGGTAGAGTACGTGGCGAGCTGCCCTCTGGGTCAGACTTGAAAAGGACTCGTTATGCAGGTTGAATTTTTTGTTTGCTTTTGACCATGTTGTTCCATTGCCAAAAACGTACCTGTGAGTCGTTTTGAGTTTGATTCATGCTTGTTTCAATCATCTTCTGCATTAGCTATGGAGGACCAAAAATGACTAAAGTATAAATAAATAAATAAATAAATAAATAGAGGAGTATATTAATAAATACATTCATTTTGGACAATAAAAACTAAATATTTACATTGATATGCTAAATATTACTCTGAAATCAAATAAATATACTTTTATTTAGGTTATTTATCAAAATCTACATTTTTTCCTTTATTTATTTATCCATTTATTGCATATATTTATTTATGTATTTCTACATTTCTTCATTTATTTATTTATGTATTTCTGTGTCGCTGCATTTCTTCATTTATTTATTTATGTATTTCTACATTTCTTCATTTATTTATTTATGTATTTCTGTGTCGCTACATTTCTTCATTTATGTATTTCTGTGTTCCTGTATGCTAATTAGGTGGGCGGTGCTGAACTCAATCTAGAACAGGATTGGTTAGGATTGCGTGAACTCTGGTCTCGATCATTACTGCCTCACATTACGGTACTCTGTTAGCTAGCTAGAGATCCTCTGTGCACTTTTGTGTGTATGGATGGCAGTTTCGAATGTAAGTTTTTTAGGAGCCATTGCTCATCAATTAAGAGCATTAGCAAATGATGTTAATGATGTTGAGCATAATGCACCTGAGGACTATCTACTCTTTCGGCTGGGAAGACTATTAAATGTTTTAGTTCATCACAGTGCTGACCCAGAGGTAGACTTTGATGCAACTGTGCTGGACGCTCTTCAACAAGCTATACAGCAGCTTCACATCCTCTCACAAACCGAGAAGGCTAAAGCCTAGCGTACATCGGACTGGCAACTGATTATATCCGTCGCATATGAGTTGCTGCCCCGCACACATCGACAATCTGACGAAAACGGGCAACTCCCAGTAGCAGACCAGTCTCGGGAATAACAGCGCGTACATCGACAGCAACTGGCCTCAACTACAGTGTGTTTTCTGACATAAACTGTTGCGGGCGCAATACACACACGTTGTTGGAGCGGCGCATGGAGCGCGCACATCGGGTCATATCTCCGAAACTGAGGACAACTAGTTGCCGAAAAGTAGAACACGGACAACTGACTGAAACTGGAGACCGACTGATCATCTCCAGTTGTAAGAGCGCGCACTTTGACCGATTTCAACTGATCATCTCCATCATCTCCTCTCAGTTGCCAAAAGCCGCCTTGCAACTTGTCTCCAGTTTCTCTGTCGATGTACGCTAGGCTTAACTTTGCTTCTGTCTGGTTGCCCTGGCTGACCTACTGCCCACCAATCCTGTTCTAGATTGAGTTCAGCACCGCCCGCCTAATTAGCATACGGCAACACAGAAATACATAAATAAATAAATGAAGAAATGTAGAAATACATAAATAAATAAATGAAGAAATGTAGAAATACATAAATAAATAAATGAAGAAATGTAGAAATACATAAATAAATAAATGAAGAAATGTAGCGACACAGAAATACATAAATAAATAAATGAAGAAATGTAGAAATACATAAATAAATATATGCAATAAATGGATAAATAAATAAAGGAAAAAATGTAGATTTTGATAAATAACCTAAATACAAGTATATTTATTTGATTTCATAGTAATATTTAACACATCAATGTAAATATTTAGTTTTTATTGTCCAAAATGAATATATTCCTGTATTTATTTATTTATTTATACTTTAGTCATTTTTGGTCCTCCATAATTAGCTCCTCTACCCAGCTGCAGTACATCCAAAATGCAGCAGCTCGAGTCCTGACTAGAACCAGGAAGTACGACCACATTAGTCCTGACTAGAACCAGGAAGTACGACCACATTAGTCCAGTTCTCAGGTCTCTGCACTGGCTTCCTGTGGCTCAGAGAATAGACTTTAAAACAGCTCTGCTTGTTACAAGTCTCTCCATGGCCTCGCACCAAAATATATTAGTGACATGTTAGTACCATATGAACCAGCCCGGACTCTGAGGAGCACAGGGACTGGACTCCTGCTGGGACTCTGAGGAGCACAGGGACTGGACTCCTGCTGGGACTCTGAGGAGCACAGGGACTGGACTCCTGCTGGGACTCTGAGGAGCACAGGGACTGGACTCCTGCTGGGACTCTGAGGAGCACAGGGACTGGACTCCTGTTAGTGCCCAGAGTCAGAACTAAACATGGGGAGGCTGCTTTTCAGATTCATGCTGCTAAAATCTGGAACAGTCTTCCTGAAGATGTGAGACAGGCCTCCTCAATGACAATGTTTAATTAATACCAGGTTAAAGACAGTTCTGTTCAGCCGTGCATACAACTGAGGGATTTTAAATTTTGATCTTTCTTTTTAATGTATTGTGATTATTTATGATTTTAATGCTTTGTTTTGTTCAGCACTTTGAATTGCCTTGTGTATGAATTGTGCTATACAAATAAACTTGCCTTGCCTTGCCCCTGAGCTAAAAGCACTCCATATGCAACTCCGCAGTCAAAGTTATGAAGCCACAAGTTTGGATGTTTTGGCAGAAATCGACAAAAACACATCCCCTCGACCCTTCTGTCTGAACGCACGGTTGTCTAACTTTGAACTTAAAAATTCTGCTTTTTAAAACAAAAGTATGGCCTCAAACCGTGCCCTCAAGATCTTCAAGAGCTATGTCCCTTCAAATCTGGTTTTAACACAGTCAAAATTAGCTCAAATTAAGACAGATTTTGCAAAACTTTTCGTAGTGTGTACAAGGTCTCATGTGTTGTCATTCAGAAAGAGTTGAATGTTTATAATTGCCCTGCTAAGATTTGGTCTGCCGTCCCAACTTAGTGTTATGTAGAAATAGAATACATGGACTTCACGCATTGTTTTTGTATTGGGGGGAAAAAAAGCCCCGGTTATAGAAGGTTCTAGGCCCAAAACAAAGAAAGCCACAAACAAGATTTTTTTGAAGTTTGAAAACACACTGCAAAAGGTGATGAAAAACAAGTCAAAAATTGCTCACATTTTGCAAAATGTAAATTAATATGATCAGATTTGGACGGCCTTAAAACAGGATTTTGCAATGGGACAGAGCAAAAGGGTCTTGTTTTAAAAAGATATAAGAAATGTCTCACTTGGAAAGAGAAAATAAAGCAATAGTTCTTGAAATAACACTAAATGGTTTGGTCCCATTGGAGAATCTTCTTAAATAATAGTCAGAATGTACACAAAATACAATAAAAAACACTTTATTCTAGCATTAATTACCTCATATTTTAACATTTTTTGCAGTGAATGGAGCGGACCGATGGGAGACAATATTGTGACAGGATTAGAATCTCAAAAAACAAGACGATTTTGCATTTATATAATTTGAATTCTTAAAAAGGCAAGCCAAATGCACGTCTAATTCCCCGTTTTAACATCATGCAGGTGAATTAGCACATGGGTTCAAAACCATGCAAACACAGCCATTAGCACCTCTCCGTGAAAAAAACAAATTAATCGACTCGTCCGTTCCAGCCGAACATTTTTCATTTAGCAGTTCATTCGCCTGCAATGAGTCCGCCAAACACTGACGTTAGCATTAGCCTTAAGAATATCTGTCATTTCTCTCTCCGGCACCTGTACCAATGTCTGCGGCCTGTCTGCGATTCCAATTACCTCGGCCAAATTAAAACTGTCAGAGTTTGTGCGCACACGTTAATTAATCCGTCAGCCGCCGCGGTCTGGGGACTTCAAGTTTTTAACGGTAAATAAAAAATAAAATCTGAATGGGAAAAAAAAAAAAAACACTTGAGTCCTGGTAATGAGCAGCTCTTTCCGGTTTATTATCTGTGATTGGTGTGATTAATTGTTAATGAGTGTGTGTGTGCGCGTGGGGACCTATGGATTGTGCGGTTGCGTGAGTGGACTGCAGAATGGTGCATTTAAACAGGGTCTTATTCATCGTCAACGTCGATGAGAAAGAAGGACATTAAGTAACAAGTACTCCTCAATCAAAGCCTAATTTTCATAATTTCTTCAATCCTTCAGATGTCACACAGATTGAGACAGCGGCAGTGCAAAGGTGAGTGTGCGCTTTTGTGTTCATTTTGGTTCCTAAAAAGCGTATTGTCATAATATTTTAGATTCAATTTTTTTCACAAAGCGTTCATTTTCTTTGGTTTGCAAGTGCTTTAAATTGGAACTATCAGGAAATAAAACAAGGACAGGCAGAACTGTAAAATAATAATAATAATGTATACAACCATATACACTATTTAAGAATAATAACTGGATAATTGGATTATAATGCTGCTACGGCTATGTGATGTTCCCATTTATCTATTAATTTGTATTATTATTATTTATTTTTATTATTATTACTATTATTATCAGTTATTTTTGTTTGATTATTATTGTTGTTTTATTATTATTTATATGTATGGTAATATGTATCCTGCCAAATGAATGCTCCTCACCACCACTTCCCCATTATTGCAATTATTATATTCTTATTATCACTATATAATTATG